TGGAATATACTGTACAGCACAGACTGGAACTGCACTGGAATATACTGTACAGCACAGACTGGCACTGAACTGGAATATACTGTACAGCACAGACTCACACGTTACTGCAATACACATCACAGACTGGCACTGCACTGGAAGGTATAGTACAGTAGTGGTAATCTATAGTCAGCAGAAAATTACTTTTGCAATTAAAAGCAAGAATGATCCTTGTAAACAGTAACCAAAACAGACCACCAAATTCTTGTGCACTCTTTTAGCTGAACTGTTCTCTGTAACTAGGTCTGCAGTCTTGACCTTGAAGGATTATCTAAAGACAGCTGTAATACATAACCAAACCACATTTCCTGTAGTCTCATGAGAAACAACAATACCACCTACGGGCTCATAAAGGACCTGAAGAAGTTAGAGTCTTAACGCCTACAGAGGTCACATAATGTAAGAGATAAGCTGCCTTCTAACTAAATACAAAGCAACCTGCAGTTAAATCTCTCTCTGCATCCTGGATGCCACAAAATAAATGGGAACCTATATCCCTATCAATTAAAAGCACCCTAAGCAGGAAAGATGTTTCTAACTGAGGTATCTTTTACCCAGGAAAGCCAAGTTTACTCAAACCACAGAATAACATGCTCTTTATAACAAGGTTCAAACACTTACAGTAGCTCCAGTCAGGTTTGGTCTGGATGATCATGAAGTAGGGGCTCTTGTCTGGCACAAGCTTCAAGTCCCAACTCCTCCAGACTGTTATCCTTCCTTGTTCTCTGCTCCTTGTTTCTCCTCTATTCTTCTTATTCCCTCCTTCTCCTCTCCTCCCTGTTAATGCCATCTTATATTGTGTGTTTCGGTACTGCTCCTTGACAGTCATTAAACCATAACTCCCCTAGGTACACTAAGGTAAACCTTAGGATTGTTTCTGCTCAAGGGACCCCCCAGACCTCAGCAAACATCTTCCCTTTTTTGAGGTTTGAAGTGTTTACTCTTCCAAGTGTCACAAACCTTATCTCAAATCTAAGAGACACTTCCAGTCACCTAAAGCTGTAACAATACTTTATGATGTAATTGGCAGTTTGATCTGTACAGAATATTCATAACAATTGAAAATGGAAACAAGTTCAGTATTTAACATTTTTAATAAAATGTAAGTTTAGAATTTAAAGTTCTGTTTCAAAAGGCAACACCAGTGGTATCTTTCGGAAGCAGAATCACTTTTATTTGCCTGTACGCCAGGTACAGGAATTTGCCTTGGCACATTTGGAACATGCTCAACACTTTACATTACATTGGACAATATACATAAGATGGGGAGACACAAAACACAGTCACAATACAGTACATGTAGACATTACAGCATAAAATGCATACATTCACATTTTACAGTACAGTGTAAATATACAAACAATAGACATTATAGAGCATGCAAGACACACGGCATGTTCAGACCACATGCAAAAGGACTGTCTGAGGAGTAAGGTGCAACTATGTAAACAAGATGGGAAAACGCACCAGTTCGTAAGTGAAAAATGTACAAGAAGTATGAACCAAGTTGGCAATAATACTAATTCAACATTTTTCGGCTGAAATGTGGAGTTGTAGGGGGAGGATGCTGGTTAAGCACAAATATGGTATTGGGAAAGAATGTGTTCAAGTGTCCGTTGGTCAGCATATTTAGCCCATTATTCTTCTCTTCATCCTCTTTATTTGTTCCCGAATCCAGTTTCTCCTTAGCGCCATGGGATGACAAGTGGTGTATAAAAACAATGAAGACATCACTTGTTGAATTCCTTCAATAGAGAAAACAGAGATGGTAAGCTTTCTCACTTGCCCAGAGCACACAGACACGGAGAGAGCGAGAGACACAGTCATGAGACGGTCATCGTTCCATAGGCAGGGATCGGCTTCCCGTGCGAAACATCACAGCAGAGGGACCAGAGCTCATCTCCGTCTGAGTGCCAGCTGTAGACTTCAACAACACAATCCAGTGTGATGGGCAGGACACTCAGCTGTCTGTTGAAAACAGACTTGAGGCTTGTTTTATGTGAAAAACAAACTGACAGCTGAAACAAATTAACTGAAACTGACAGCACTTTTTATTTAAGGTGGTGCTTCGCAAACTGTATACCCTGGAAAACTCAACTGTTCCTCAGAAACAGAAAAGATTTAAGATTGTGGAGCTTTGTATAGCTCTTTCCAGCATTGAGACAATCATTTAACAGTTATTAAAACAACCTATTATTTCAGATTAAAATACTAGCCAAAAAAGTGATCAACTATGAAGTCTACGTATTGCAGTTTGTAATAATTGCTATTTCTTGCAATATTAGTGATGCATATTTTTAAATTATTTGCTGCTCCACAAACTATTTGAGATGTTTAAAATCTGAAAGAATTACACTAGAATTGCAGGTCCCTACACCTGCTGTTCTCCTGCAGTGGAGTTTCAGGCTGTGATCTACCTGGCTCTTTCTGAAGCCTGGGGACCTGCACTGTGACAGCGTACTGACACTCAGGGCCTGAGCTGACACTGTGCTGCTCCACTGCCAGAAACACCAGGCCTCTGCTCCCATGTGACTGGCAAGCATCACAGGACAGCGAACAGGGCAATGAGATTCTGACAACATGTGGAGTGCGGAGTGAGATCATTTAATTTCACCACAGGGCTGTGTTATCTGTGCTCAGGAGGCACGAGCGCTTCAGTTCTCAGGTGCTCAGAGATTTTTCAGGACATTCATCAGTCTCATCAGGATCCCCTTGAAACACACCCACAATGTGCAGTCAGCACAGACACTGAGACACACATCACACACATATTAACAAACAGGGAAGCTTAGACACAAATATTTCATTAGGTCACTTCACTTACCTTCACTGGGCTATACCACATCGTTTGAATAACTCCCTCCTCTTCCACATAGCTACACCTATCAGAACAGCTATCAGAAAACCTCCAACTATTCCTCCGACCACCTGTGCAGTGTTGGTGCCAGTGTTTGTATCTTTCTGAATGCTGTCTGAAATGAAATTGAAATATCCGAGTCAAAATCACATCCTGGAGTTCTTTGCAGGTGGTGTTTGAAGAAACACCTGCTTGTAATGTTTCATTGGCTGCGAGTAAATAAAATGAGTTGAAGAAAGTACACCACAGTACCTATTTGCCTCTGAACATAAATATAATAATAAATTTAACCATTTGCATCTTTATTTGTAGGCAGATTGGATACAAGTAGTTTATGAGCAACAAGGAGAAAAAATTCAAGATAGTACTTTATTTGAACAGAAAATTATTGCGCTTAGAAGAGATATTATTGCTTTTAAATGCAATAGTTAATTTATTAACAATATTGCTTACTGTATTAATCTCGCATTACATATGCAATAATATTGTCCTGTGCAAAGTAGCATTGACTTTAACAACAGAAGAATATTGTCAAACTCCTCTTTTTGGATAACAACATCGAAAGGAGCATGTGTCCTGTCTTTTGTATACATGATGTACAACACCGTGTCAGTTACCATTCCTGTGTTACATGCATATTGCTTTCGCCATTTCTGTAACAAGTAGAAATGACAGCTTTCTTAATGTGAAACTGCTGAAATAAGTGATGTATGTATGTTTTTGCCTACCCTTTTAAAATTGAATACAATTAGGATGACTTGACAGTCAGACTTGTTAAGTCAGAATTGTTAAGAAGTCTGTTTACTTTGAGACTTTTGTGTTTGTGTTGAACATCTTTAAAAAAAATGAGAGAGGAAATATCCTTTGCCAGCAGCCATATCACCCTGCAACTCACAACTCGTAGACCACTGAAGCTCAGCAGGCATGAGCCTGATAAATAGGATGGGAGACCCCCTCAGAAGTACTAAGATTGCTGCTAGAAGAGGTATTAGTGAGACCAGTAGGGGGGCGCTCACCCCAAAGCCTGGATGGATCCGAATGTCCCCGTATAGTGATGGGGACACTATACTATAAAAAGGCACTGTCCTTCAGATCAGATGTAAAACCAAGGTCGTGACTCTCTGTGGTCATTTAAAAATCCCAGGGTGTTTCTCAAAAAGAGTAGGCATGTTACCCCAGGTCCTGGCCAAATTTACCATTGGCCTTTACCAATCTTGGCCTCCTAATAATCCTCCTATATAAATTGACTTCATCACTCTGTTCTTCTCTCCACTGATAGCTGATGTGTGGTGAGTATTCTGGTGCATTTTGGCTGCCATCACATCATCCAGGTGAGGCTGCACATTGTAGGTGGTGGAGGGGAGTTCCCATTACCTGCAAAGCGCTTTGAGTGGAATTTCTACAAAAGTGCTATATAAGTGTAAGGAATTCTTCTTATTATAATTATTATTATCCTGGATCTTCAAAATATCAGATTTTTGAGAGTTTCTTTTGTGAAGGTTCCATAAAACAAAAGCCTGGATCTTCCATCCACAGAATAATATGAATTTGAATTTGAACAGATAGCTAATTATCCCAAAGTAACCTACACTAGTGAAATAAAGGAAGCTGGGGTAACCAGTGAATTATTGATCAACAGGCTGTTCTCTGAGCAGAAAGTCTCACAGGTTGAGCTATGTAGGTATATAATCTTAAATACAGTTACTTTACAATAATACAAAACTTACAGTAAATGACTGCAGAAGTCTTGTTCTCTTTGAGCCTGTGGTTTTCTATGGTACAGGACACAATGATCTCCTGAGTGACGTTGGCAGTGAGGAGGCTTCTGACAGAGAACAGTTTAGTGTCAGGCTCCTGTGTGACAGTTGATCTCACTGTGTCCACAGGGGGGCGCTCCCCGTTAATGAGCCAGTGGACTGTGGGCTCAGGGAAACCCTGTCCAGAGGAGCAGTTGAACTGGGCTTCACCTCCTTCTGCATCTCTCTGTACCACTGGATCTGTGTAATGAGCTGTCGAACAGAGAAAAACAGTCATACTTTGAACGCTTCTAACATCAAGTAAAGAAAGTAGAAATATATAATGATTTGTAGTTTGACAACATCTGTCAATCACATGGAATCATTGCTGCTTTCTGAATGAGTCACTCTGTTATTCAGTAACATCTTAACCCGAGCTCTGACCCTGTCGTGATTAGTCTCTTCTCGGTATTCAGCACAGAACTGTATTGAGCTCTGATCAGGTAGCAAAAGGTTTTTCTGACCATGGGTTTTGCGTTTCACTTCAGGTTTCTTCACATATTAGTATTTAAAATTCACACATGAAGTTCTCACCTGCGACAGTGAGGCAAACCTGATCTAAAGGTTCACTGGATCCAAATCCCTTACGATTAAAAATACACTTATAGTACTGGATGTCTTTCACTTTAATGTCCTCTAGCCTCAGTGAGAAATTGCCCTTCTTTAGTACTTCAGTGAAGAGGTGAGTTCTGTTGGCGTAGTCTTTGCCCTGTACTTCCCGAATTTCTTTTCCATAGACAAAGCTGTATACTACAACACTGTCTGCTCTCCACTCGATGCCAATGTCACTTAGCAGCATATCTTGATTTCCATTTTTATACACGCAGGGAAGCAAAGTGGATTGTCCAATAATTCCAACAATACAGTCCTTGTCTGTAAAGGAAAAAGAAACATACATGGACTGCAGTACAGAATGTGGTAATCCAATCAGAATGATTATGCGTATTAGAAGCTGTGTTTATATCAATTTCTGATCAGAAATCATTGTGTTATTTACAGTATATATCAACAGTGTATAAGAGTGGGTGGAATGGACAGTGGATTAAGTCCCAGTGGGACGATGCTATTATTGTCCTTTGGGCAAATGCTTCACTCAGATTTCTCCAGGAAATAAGCTTCTGTATAAATGGGTCTCCAAGCTGTCACTGTAAATGAGAATTTGTTCTAAACTGATTGTGTGGTATGGGGGTCAGTGGTTGGAACTGCTGCTTTGCAGCGCTGGAGCCCTGGAGCCCTGGGTTCAATTCCTGAGGTGCTATCTGTGTGGAGTTTGTATGTTCTCCCTTTGAGTGAGAGGAAACCTTCTTTAAGCAGGTTTCCTCTCACAGTCCAATTGGCATTAATTGGTTTCTGGGGAAAATTGGCCCTGGTGCGAGTGTCTGTGTTTGTCTGTCTGCTGCGCGCTAGACTTTCATTCACCTTCAGAGCCATTCATCTTGTATAAGGCTGCAGACTCTATAACAGGAAACAGGGCGCAGACTGAAAGAGTATCTTTCTGCATCTTATTTCCCATGTCTCACCACTTGCAAATCCCACTGATAGCTGACTCGCAACATGACCAAGTGTGATCTAGTGAAGTAATTTAAAACTCTAATCAGCAAAATGTACAGCAAATCCTGGAACAAATAAAGGTTCGTTTCAAATTGAAAAGTAGAACATTGTCTAGGCTGTTAAACCTTCTTACACCTGAAGAAAGCTCGACACCCAGAACATTGTTTTTTCTTTCTACTTTTCAGCGTGGAATTAGCCTCTACTTGTTTCTTTGATGCCAACACTCTCTGACATAGCTCCCTGGTCAAACTGCTATTTAAGAAATTTACTGGAGACATCTGAGTGAAGCATCTTGATCAATGGACATCAACAGGTACAGTTAGATTATTGAAGGGCATTCAATTGTAATATTTTTTGCTGTCTTATAATGATCTAATTTATATATATTTTTATATGATGCAGAACCTACCTGTGCTCAAGATGAGGGTTATACAGCACAGGAAAACTCCCAACACACGATACAGAGACATTTTTCCTGGGAAAAGGACAAAACAGACCAGAAGTACTGTGATAATGTTATCACATAGCAGTAAGGACAGTGAAAGGATTCAAGATGAAGATATTCTTAAAAATCCTGTGAATTATTGTTTTATTAAACTCTCTTCATTTCAGAATAAAACTGCAATCATTTACACTACATTTATTTACATTTAACAGAGTAATAATTCCAGTTACAGTAGCTGCAGTTTTTTCAATTTGTTTTCTGAGGTGATTTAATCACATTCTCAATAATATAATCACATTATTATTGACATATAAAGCTTTGTAAAGATTTTACAGTAAACGAATCAGTCTTATTTGGAATTAATTTTCAAGTGCAGATGGTAAAGCAATATTGGTTTTGTTTTTTAAAGCGCAGAACTGTTTAAAGTGCGAGACTGACTGTTTATTAAGAATATCCTGTCAATACAGTGTACACTATCTGGCTTGCAAATTGTACAAAAAGCAGCAATCATCTGTCATGTATACATTTAAAACTTTGTTCATAAATACTAATTTACAGAACTTTACATAAGTAATTCCATAATTCTAAGATATGTGATATATACTGTATATATACAATTATCCACTCTTTTTGAAATTGTTTTAAAACAATTGTACTTACCGCACTCAGCTTTTTCCTGAAAGAAAGTGAAAGTGTGTAAACGTCTTCTTTAAGCAGCCTGCCTACAGTACATATGTCACAATAGGTGTGAAAAGTATTGCAACAGATTGAGGTATCCTTTTAATAAAGAATACTTGTCAGTTCTATTCAGATCCATTTATAATAGGTATTTAAAGTTTTATTTTTTTAATAATCCTAGTAAAGCAATTATGAACATTAGCTGCACAGAGATTGATACCTTTTACCAAAATTCTTCCATATACTATTAATAAAGTATATAATTAAAATCAAAAAGGAAGGTACTGCACAAACATGAACAAACAGAATTTGTCCGTAAAACACGTTTGAGTCTGATTCCCTGACAGACGTCCAAAAATAAGATAAAACAAAGAACCTTGTCTGTAAAGAGAAGAGCTTGTTCACTTAAATAAAAGACATTAAATCAGGAGTGCCATCGGGTTACTGTTCCAACATGAGCTGTCAATTAGATCCATCCATTTTCTAACCACTTCTTCCAATTCACGCTCAAGGGGACAGCCGGAGTTTATCTCGGCAAGCAACGGTGACGCAAGGCAGGATAAACCCTGTACAGGGTGCCAGGGTGCACACAGACATGCTCACACTCACACCAGGGCCAAATTCCCTTGAAGCCAATTAACCCACCAGTATGCCTTTGGAGTGTGGGAGGAAACCCCCACAAACATGGCGAGAACATACAAACACCAGGCAGGCTGCATCTCAGGAAATGAGCCCAGGGCCCCAGGACTGCAGGAGAGCAATTCCAACCACTGAGCCAATATTGCTGCTCCTCTCAATTTCACAGTGGATCTGCTTATTACAGTAACCGGAAGTGTAAATATTTGTAACAAGGCTCTGTTGTGTTTTGAAAGTCACTCTACTTGATGTGAGCGTTTTGGGTAATCAACTGTAAAAGAGCCTTAAAAAAACATTACATTTAAGATTGAATTAAGAAAATCCTCTTTATTATTCAATTGACAACTCTTGTTGGAATTAAAACTGGTAAAGACCAGACCCTCCAGTAAGTGAGATCAACACGCCTGCTTTGAAATGAACAGTTTTGCTACTGGATAATGGCTGGAATGACCATGATTTAATAAAAGGAAAAAATAAACTTTGTATTTTACATATGTAAAAACTTAATCTGTAAATTGTATATGGTAATTTGGTATGTGTTTTAGCAGTTAGTAACCCCAGCCCTGGGAGAAGGGGAACACTACACCTATTGATTTTAGTTCCAAATGGGACCTTAATCACTGGTGCTAATTGATGCATCTCATTAATGTGACTATCTTTAAACGTTTTCTGCTCTGCACTCTAGTGATTGTTTAAAAAAATACATTATTTCCAACAAGGTTAGCATTCAAAACTTTATGCAGTCACTCGTCAACGTGCCAATTAAGAATTTGACTCTGATAAATAAATTGTAATTATTGATGATCAATGGATGATTAACAGAAACAGGTGGGAATGTCAATGTATTCAGAATCAAACATTCTCAGAAGAAGTATTTTCCCCCCACCTCTGCAGACTTCCAATTGATTAAACTTCAGGCAGAATAAATAAAAGAGGGCAGCTGGGAAACTTAGGACCTGGCACAGGTTTGATATCAATTCCACATCCATGTTTGAATTTTTGAGAGCTGCAAAAATAAAATATGGCACAATTTGGAAAATGAAATCAAGGGGCCTGTGTTAAGAAATCAGTTGGATATACCAGAAGATAGTTATTTACTTGTACCAGGCTTGGAAAATACTGCTTTAGTGAACAAGAGTAACCGTTTTGCAACACATAACAGGAAAAGAAGCCACCAAAAGTGTCCTTTCATTCCTTCTACCCTGAAATCTCTCAAAAGGCCACAGTTAATACACTTTTTTTCCCCCGTTTGGTCTGGCTGCATTTTCTTTTAATTCTATTCAACCATTTTCTAACTGCTTCATCCAATTCAGGATCATGGGGAGTGCGGGAGTCTATCTACAGTAGGGAAGTAACAGGCGCAAGGCGGGATACATCCTGGATGGGATACTACACCATGACAGAGCAGATGCAGACGCAGACATAAACACAAACACTTACAGTACACCAGGGCCAATTTTCTCAGATGTCCATTAACCTTCTGTCATACAACGCCTCCTGCGTGGAAAGTGTTTGGCCGGAGAACGTGTTGTTCACGGAGAGGAAAAAAAGATACACGATGGCAAGTCAGCACTCAAAACAAACAAAAGGCCAGTTTTATTAACATTTTGTATGCAGATGGCCACAAAAGCACTAACTGGGTTTCTTAAGCAGTTATATATATATAAAAATAATATCACAAGCAGCTTGCTCTTTGTTTAAAGACTACTGACTCACCCCCACTAGGTCTCGGAACACTCTTTAAATAGGGTTTGGGCTGTACCATTATAAATGCTGTAAAACAAAAATCCCAAGACGAACAACTCATAGCACGGTAGTCTGGACTACTTGGACACACAAATACATAAAACCCTTACCAATATACAGAACAGACATTCATTAGACCTTCTATACCTGGTTGCCATTTTTAGTAATAACATTAGACTCTGATATCCTTTCCTCTCAGCATTCCAGCAGCCATGTCACCCCTCAACTCACAACTGGCAACCCACTGAAGCTAAGCAGGTGTGAGCCTGGTTGGTACCTGGATGGGAGACCTCCTGGGAAAAACTGAGGTTGCTACTGGAAGTGGTGTTAGTGGGGCCAGCAGGGGGCGCCCACCCTGCGGTCTATGTTGGTCCTAAAGCCCCAGTATAGTGATGGGGACACCGTACTGTAAACAGGCACCGTCCTTCAGATGAGATGTAAAACCGAGGTCCTGACTCTCTGTGGTCATTAAAAATCTGAGGGCGTTTCTCGTAAAGAGTAGGGGTGTAACCCTGGTGTCCTGGCCAAAATTTCCCATTGGCCCTTACCAATCATGGCCTCCTAATAATCCCCATCTATGAGCTGGCTCCAATACTCTGCTCTCCTCCCCACTGATAGCTGATGTGTGGTGAGTGTCCTGGTGCACTATGGCTGCCGTTGCATCATCCAGGTGGATGCTGCACATTGATGGTGGTGGAGGGGAGTCCCCATTACCTGTAAAATACTTTGGGTGGAGTGTCCAGAAAAGCACTATATAAGCATAAGCAATTATTATTATTATTATTATTATTATTCCAACAATGGTATGATTCTCTAGCTAATCATTCAGGCATATAAACAGTCTCCTATCTGTCTGCAACCTTTTGACCTTTCTGAGGACCCCTCCAAACAAATATGCACTGGCTTCTTCACTCAAGTAGTGCTGTTAAGGGTAAGCTGGTGGCATTCAACACTATGCCTTGTTTCTTTAGTGTAGCTTCTATAAAAATAGCGTTCTCTACCTTTTGCTCCCTTCCTTGCCATGACCTGGGTGTGCGCCCGCAGGCTGAGAAATGAACAGGGTAAATTGGTGAGAACTGACGCACTCTGGTGTATTAGAAAAACAAGCTCTCTTAACTAACAAACAGAGGAAACCCATGCAAACATGGAGAGCATTTGCAGAATCAACACAGATAGAACCCCAGGTGTTGAACCCAGGACCCCAGAGCTGCAAGGCAGCCCTGCTAACCACTGCGCCACCCCAGCTGGTCCCAAACTACATCCCATGCTGCTTTTCTTCTTAAAGAACAGTAACTAACATTAAGGGAGTGTCTAACACAGTGTCTAACACAGTGTCTAACACTGTTTGGGATGGTGACCGCTACAGCAGTTAACAAATTTCTTAATAACAGACACTACAGTTTAGAAGGATGGACTCAATCGTTTGCAGCAGTTTCTGTGGATTGTTTTATAGACATCCCCCAACCTGTGGACGTCAATGACAATTTGCTTGCAGGCTTTGGAGAGCTGTCTGACCTTAATCAAGATTACGCTAACACTAAATGTCTTCCATGTTTTATCGCCTGTTGTACCTCAGAGGAACATGAAACCTTTTTAGCAAAACCATGACAGGGATTCCATCAGCCTGACCTGTTCGATGAAGTGAGTCCCAGAATGAAACTGCTTCTTTGGAGAGAGAGCTTATTGGTAGTACAGGTTAACTCACAATGCTAAAATGGCATCAGAAACTAACCCAGCGATACATAGACACAGCTGGCAGAAAATATAAACCCGGTGAAAAAAAATAGGTCTGTCTTTCTTAGGAAAAGATGGAGGGAGAGGCAAAGAAAAAGTATGAAAATTAAAGTTAATCCACGATGAAGCATTTGATTTACACGGCAGGGAGTTTCGGGGTGTGTGTGGAATTAGTCTTTTCTCCTTCTAGATAGGGAAGTCATTGATTAAAAATAAAATTAAGACTCCAATAAGGAGTTAGCCTTTTGTTTTGATTGGTACTGAAAGGTACCACAGGTCAGTTGAAAATAAAGAAATCTGAAATTGGATCTACCCTGGAAATAGACACTTCTTCCATTGCCCATCTCACAGGCTTTTATAAATTCAACATGCAATAATATCTAAAAGTGCAAAATGATCCTTTTAAGCTGCACATCAACTAAAGCTGTGATTGTAGCCATAGCAATGATGTTTTCCTTAGTTAATAACCAGGTAATAATTTGCCTACACATCATCTACAAAAGACGAGACAAGAAAAGACATTGTATTTTTTTTACTAAAAGGAAATGTTGCTGATTTGGATGATACTAGGCTGCTTCCTCCACATTTGCATGATCAGCATTTCTTTGGCTTTTCTTTTAGCTTCCCTTTGCAATGAATCTGTCACATCAGTTTTGAAGTCTGTCTTTAAAGTAATAGCATAACGGTTCAGAGTGTCCGCATGGAAAGAGCTTTCTCACAAATAACAGTTAGTTATGGATATGATCGAAACTCATTATGTTAATAGTAACTGTTGCTGTTTGCCCTCTACATCTCAGTTCCCTTAGGAGTTTCCTGCGTTAACCCCAGAAACGGGGGGGTGTGTGGCGTGAATCACTGTTCCTCTTTCTATTCGGCTAGAGAACACTGTACCCTGACCTCATGCTTTAATCTTAGGGTTTTTCCAAGCTCTCTGGATCTTGATTTTCCATAATGTGTCCAGAGCACAAATCTAAATTCACTTAGGGGATGGTTTGACAGTTTTTGTGTATGTTCTTGGCTTTGAGACTTACTGTAGACTAGGACTTGGCTCTTCTCCTGAAGCTGCTCTCAGAATTGAGTCTTCTGGGCAAACCAGTAGCTTCACCAGGCATTCCTGAGTACTGATAAGAGACATGACATAAATGCTCATCCAGTGCTCCCCACTCTGAATTGCTTTAGCACTGAACATGGGTCATATCATGCCAGCCTCCATAGCTGGGGAATTAGTACAAGCCCTCCTTGTTCCGGTGTGATGGAGGACTACTCAACCCACAGACTGGTATAAACCCCATGAGTGGTATAAAGGCTGGATTTATGCACAGTTTGATATTAAAAGTGGAGTAAAGCAAAATAATCGTTTGTTGTCTGCACGCAAGCATGTGTTTAAGATGGGATATTATCATATCCTGTGAATAATACAAGATGGGAAGATGGATTGTAGGGTGACTAAATTGTTAATAAGAGCTTACAGTGCCTTGCAAAAGTATTCACCCCCCCTTGGCACAAAAACGTGATGTATTTAACTGAGACTTTTTGCCACTCATCAACACAAAGTACTCTATAATGTCAAAGTGAAAAAAAATCCAGACATTTTACTTTACATTTTTTTTGTATCTGCAGATAAACAGTCCTAAACTTTTAAACTGCTGTTAAACTTTTAAACTGCTAGACAAAAGAAGACATTTTCTTATGCGTATCAGCATATGAAGTATTGATTTGGACATAGTTACAAAATTTCTGTAACTGGCAGGACTGATGTTCTTAATTAAGTGTTGATGGGAAGCAAATCTGACTTTAAAGCCCAGAGTGGGGATGGTTTTGTAGGGTGAAGATGAGGTCAGGTCCAAGGCAGGAATGCAGTGGATGGAGGTGACATTTACTGTACATTTTTTTCTGTTCATTAGAAAGTGCCAATGGATGAATATTTTGATCACAGGCTCATCAAACTTAGGGCATACCGTGTCCTCCAAACACAAAAATAGATGTATGCTTTGAAGAGTTGAAGTAAATACTAAAAAGATCCTTATAATGCTGCACAGATCAAATGTTTACCTTAAGTGTTTCACATTGCGATTGAATAGTAACAGTTCTCAAAGCAGATACCTATCAGGAACAGAGATGGAAAAGTCACATACAGTAGTTAGGGTTAGGTTTAGTTTACTTTAGTAAGAAATGGTTTAACTTCCCTAGTACATTACTGACAACTGTGAAAGTGGATGGATTCCCAGTTAGTGGGAAAACACCTGAATCTCTCACCCTGATAGTGCTATATTATTCAAATATTCTGCTCAGTTTCCATTGCACTTAGGAGCTCCTGTACAGTAGGTATTGTACAACACTTCTTTCAAAACTCTTTCAGCAGTTGAGTTAGTTGCTAATGAATGTGATAGAGGGGTGAAATGTGTGGAAGGTATTTGGCCTAGCTCAGAGAATAGCAGCCTGCTTGTAAGGATGGGGCTAAACACTCATCCCTCACCTTTGAGAGGAATGAGCCAACCTGCAAAGGTGTAGATGGGGTGGTGTGAGGGGTGTGCTCACCCTGCAGTCTGTGTGGGTCCCAATGCCCCAGTGTAGTGACGGGGACACTATACTGTAAAAAGGCATCATCCTTTGGATGAGACATAAAACCGACTGCTGGCTATCTGTGGTCATTAAAAATCCCAGGACATTTTTCGAAAAGAGCAGGGGCGTTACCTGGTTGTCCTGACCAAATTTTCCCCTGGCTTTTGCCAATCATGGCCTCCCAGTAATCCCCATTTATGAATTGGCTTCATCACTCTGTTCTCCTCCCCACTGGTGTGTGGTGAGCATACTGGTGCACTATGGCTGCCATCGTGTCATCCAGGTGGGGCTACACATTGGTGGTGGTGGAGGGGAGTCCCCATTACCTGTGAAGCGCTATATAAGTATAAGCAATTATTATTATTATTAGATATATTTGTACATAGAAGAGAATGGAAGTGGACAAAATGAGGATCTAACCTTCCTCTTTTAACTTCTGTTAAAAACTTGTAGAATGTAACATTCTACACATGTGCTAATGAAAGCATTATGCGTCATCATAACCCGCCTACTCTAGTACAGTTTTCTGCTCGGATTCTTCCATTCCTAAAGCTTTAGTTACAGTATATAGTACATACTGGAAGACATCCCTAGTACCGGAAAAGATACATTCAAGATGAGTAGGAAATTTACCATCATTTTCATCCTGTTAAGTAAGTACTGTATACATTTTATTAACATGTTGTCATTACTGTAAACATCTGCGAATCAATTTAATCTGTTCTAATTTGGAGTTGCATATACAGTTGGTTTGCATTTCCTCTTTGTTTATAAAATCTTTTGAAATCTTTTGACATATGAGAAATCGAATAAGCTTTCAGAAAAATTCACCTATGCAGTGGTATACTAAAATCTTGATCTAACTAATATTTAATGATACTCAACAATATTGAAACAAATATTTGTATTTCATTTCTTCTGCTAGTAAGTTGTATACCTTTTTCAGTACAAGTACTACATAAATATTGTTGTTCCAGGAAAGCAGAATAGAACAAAGAGTCTGTCTGGCCCTTTAAAACTAGTTTTTATCTTGCAAGCCTTTGAAGTGGGTATTGTTAAACAGTAAGGGATAAGACATGTACAGTACTAGACAAGATTCATAACTCTGTAGAATTCATTTTGCAGCTGTGAAGTGGGTTAAATCTGAATATCTGAAAATCTGAAAAATGTGAATATCAGGGGCAGTCTTGGTTGTCCATATGAGTGGAACTCTGATTCAAACAGTATTCTAAATGATCTGGGTAGAATGACTCTCTAATTTAGTGCATTTTACAGTGTTCACAAATTTCCGAACAGTTAAATTCCATATGTAACGACAGGTTTTGCATGATACAGAAGAACTGCAACTTCAGAGAGATTGCCATTTTCATTCTTTTTTTAATGGTCAAGCAGGAAAATCTAGAAAACCTAAATAAAGAGCTATGACCATCAGTAATTCCTTAAAAAAAGGATAGATAACTATTTGAATGCCTTTTCATTTCAACAGACATCACCTGTACCCAACATTCTCGGGTAGCGAATAACCAACATGATGTTACCTGTGAAGCGTCGGACGAAGACTTGTTCTGGTATAAACAGTGTCCAAATCACAATCCTGTGCAGATTGAGAAAGTAGAAATCAAGCAAGAAAACTTTCAGAAGAGGAATATTACAGCAACGTATTACTGTGCTAAAAAAATCAAGGATGTGTACATATTTGGAAAAGGAAAAAATAGTGAGTATAAATCCTGGATAAAAGTTCAACGATACACTCAATGACGAACATGTAATCTACAGGAGATCTACAGTATAAGCAGTGTGAAACCTGTTGAGAAAAATCACAACATCACATTAAATGAAACACTGAAGCTTATATTTGTTACCTACTTCCAGTTAGTTGTCATAACCAATAAACAAAGTCCAAGACTCTTTGACAATTCAGATAAAAAATACCAAATTTTTCTGCATATTTTTTGATCAGTCATGGAATTTAAAATCTCCCTTTAGAGTTAGCTGGAAGTTTACCCCAAATGTATATTATGGGTGAAGAGATAATGGGCAGACTTGCTTGTAATTAGAAGAAAAATTGCACATTAGTTTGAATTGTGGGAAGACTTTTATTATTCTCGTTATCCCAGCAATTACAGTAGTTAAATAATATTACTAATAAATAGAAGCACAGTTATGTTCAAACACATTTTATTTATCATTATTTTCTAGAGCAGGGGTTCTCAAACTTTTTGGACCAAGTACTACCCCTGATCAAACCAAAGCATCCAAGTACCACCTACAAGTCATCTTTTCATAGGAACCCCAGAAAATCTCACTGAGCAACATGAGCGTGCGCACGCACACACTCACACACAGATACAGTATAATAAAAATAGCACCGAGCACTTAGTTCATTTGGATCGTTCCACCTTGTTCCAACACTTGCTAACGCTAGCAGTGCTGTCTGTGTCAGGTTCAGCAGAAGAGCTAGTGTTGGTGGCCCATAGGGTTACCATATGTCTGGATTTCCCCCAACATTTCCTCTATTTTGATCCTGATATCTCCGTCTAGGGGGGAATTCTCAAATATTTCCAGGATTTTTACCCCATTGTTTTCACCACAAAGAATAATTAACAAAAGTTTTAAGGATAGTTAGAAAGCGAGAGAGTGTCTTAACCTCTCTAGTTCACCTTGGGACCTTTGTGGAAAAACAAATTCTGTGTTTTTGAAGTGGAAGAGAGCTGAATGTTTGGTCTGTAAGCCTCGTACTTTTGTCTCCTTGGCGAATAAAGGTGTACTTGATTTTCAAGCTCATGTTGACTCAAACACAAAAAGGCAATTCGAGGAGAGAGTTCGTCACCCAAATTAACAGATTATGTTGTTAAATATTAAATTAAAACACAGGATACTGTTACTGCAGCAGAGGGGACTTATGCATTTCACACAGTTTAAACATCATCACAATTACTATACCAATGAACATAAAATGTGGGATATTTAAAAAAAAATCATCCCAACCCCTTCCCACATAAGGGAATAGGAAAGTTCCTCAGGGTGTCCTCTTTTTTATGTTCAAATATGGTAAAACCCTAGTGGCTGATGTAAAATCCGCCTCGTTCTCAATGGGTGTGCATGATTTATCGGAGCTAGCGTCAGTACTCTTGGCGTCTATTCCTTTCAGTCACGACATAATACTTGATTTTTACGAGGTATTTGTTTTTGATCACTTGTTCCGTTGGTGAATGTGGTGCTGAGCTCTGAAAGCTCGAGAGGAGTACGAACACTCAAGTATTAGCATGTGCTGTATCGACGTAGCTAAGTACGTAGGCTGTGTATTTGACACAAACTAATTTTATTCAAATAGAAAATACGGAAGTTTCACTTTTGCACTCTGCAGCTCAGTCAACGGTAGCAGGGATTTTCACTGCACTGGATGAACTGTTTAAGGAAAAGCCTTTGTTAGCAAGTCTTAGGTCTGAGTTTTTTAAGGCCAGACAGGGAATTGTGGCATCTTTGGAGGCATTTATCCTCTGCTTGCGTGAGCTGTTTAAACATTGGAGGGCAGAAGAACCAGGGGGCTCTTTAAGCATGGAAAACACACTTCGTGAACAGTTTCTAGTGGGTCTGCAGCCAGGACCCCTACAGAAGGAGCTACAGTGTCAAGCTCGCAGGGAGCCTGCCCTGACCTTCCAGGATTTGGCCCGAGAGGAATGGTTGCTACAAGAGGAAGGCTGGGGGGGAGAATCCGAAGCTGCAGCCAGTGCCACCATCACCACACTCCCCCTGACCTCAAATGGACCTGCACCAGGACAGTTGGCAGATCCCTTACGTACTGAGTTACGACTGGAGCTCCAGCTCCATCTTAAAGCCTTCCAAGCCCATGTCCCTCGGCAGTCCCTGGGTGAGTGGGCGAGGATGTTCACCATATGCCAGTGGAAGGGAGGCTGGAAAGAATCCGAAGGACGAATCGGGATGGCCAGGCTGACATGACAGATTAGTCCAGATTCCTCCAAACAGTGAAATGGTGGTGTGGGCCCAGGTCCCAGAGTGTTCCCAGCGAGGGAGTCACTGCATGTTAGTGGAGTGGCAGGTGGTTAGGTCCGTGGGCTGGACCAAGGACGGACGGGTCCCTGTGTGCATACAGAACTTGTGCATACAGAATGTGCGGCGCAGTGGCACCGTCGCTAAGGATCTGTGCCTGTGGTTGCAAGGTTGCAGGTTCAACTCCCGCAGTCGGCAGAGGAATCCTACCCTGTTGTGGCCCTGAGTAAGGCCCTTTACCCCAGCTGCTCCAGGGATGCTGTATAAATGGCTGACCCTGTGCTCTGACCCCAAGCTTCTTTCTGTCTGTGTGTCTCCTGGAGAGCAAGTTGGGGTATGTGAAAAGACGAACTCCTAATGAAAGAAATTGTATAGGGCCACTAAAGTGATCTTATCTTATTGCTTGGAACTCCCTTCACGACAGCCATTGGCAGAGTTGAGTAGGACTGCAGAAGATGATGTATAGAATGATCGAGATGTCTTTTTACAGACACAACACTGTCACAGACAGAGTGGTACTCTACTTTGGACCTGGCCAGCGGATACTGGCAGGTGGAAGTTAGTGAACTTGACAGGGAAAAGACTGCCTTCACCACTCCACTGGAGCTGTACGAGTTTGAGCGTATGCCTTTTGGACTGTGTAATGCCCCTGCAACCTTTCAACACCTGCTGCAGCACTACCTTGGGCCAATGATAAATGAGTCACTACTGATATATCTAGATGATGTGATTGTGTACTCACCCACCTTTGAGACTCACCTACAGCATCTGGAACAGGTGCTTGAGAAACTGAAAGATCATGGTTTAAAACTACAACCTCAGAAATGTGCTCTCTTCCGCAAAAAGGTAAAGTACCTGGGGCATGTGGTCAGTAAAGCTAGAGTTGAGACTGACCCTGAAAAAGGATCTGCAGTAAAAGACTGGCCACCTCCTGTGCACCAGGTTCGCTCGTTTCTGGGTTTCATGGGATATTACCGAAGATTCATCCCAAGGTTTTCAAAGATTGCAGCCTCATTGAATGCCTTATTGTGTGGCACAGCTGCCCTCGGAAAAAAAGGAAAGGAGGTGGATTGGACACTGGCCTGCCAGGAAGCTTTTGAGACGCTGAAGGAAAAGCTGCTCAGTGCCTCAATCCTAGTTTATGCAGATTTCAGACGGCCATTCAAGCTTTACACTGATGCCAGCCTCGAGGGACTGGGGGAAGTGTTGACCCAAGAGCAAGAAGGAGTTGAGCGGGTCATTGCATATGCCAGCCATAGTCTCCATCCTGCAGATCGAAACGATCAGAACTATAGTTCATTCAAGCTTGAGCTGCTGGCTTTGAAGTGGGCAGTCACAGAGAAATTTAAGGACTACCTGTGGGGAGCAGAGTTTACGGTGTTTACAGATAATAACCCCCTAGTGCATTTGGATACTGCCCACCTTGGTGCAACTGAGCAGAGGTGGGTGGCTCAATTAGCAAACTTTTCATTTGATATTAAGTATAGACCAGGGGTGCTCAACCGTAATGCTGACATATCGTCAAAGAGGCCCACAGGTATTGCCAAGGTATCCGCTTGGGCACAGCAGGCCGTTCCAGGAGAGGCAGGAGCAGGAACTGGATTACTCCCAGAGTTTTTTGCATGGGGGCCCTGAGAGCAAGAGGATCCTGACCTACAAGTAATATGGGAAGGAATTGAGCAGGGGAAATACAGCCAGGAAGTAGAGCAACACTGCTGTCGAGCAGGGGTCCAGAAGTATCTCCTCCTTTGGAGTAAGATGAAAGTTCAAGAGGGGGTGCTGGTCCTAGAGACAGAGGGGGCTGGGGGGGCTGGTAAGAGTATGCAAGTAATTGTGCCCCCAAGATAAAGAAATGAGCTCTGTAGAGAATACCATGAGGCAATTCGTCACCTAGGTGGTCAAAAGGTGCATTTAGTTTTACGGCCATAGGGTGCTCATCCGGAACTGTAGGAGCCAAGCCAAGGGTAAGTTATCTCCTCGGTGGGGGCCAGAATTCCATGTGGTAGTGGTAGAGGGAGAGCAGGAGAGTGAACAAAGAAGTGATAAGGGCCCATAATACCTAAGCTCGGCACTCTTACACCCCTCTAACAACACAAGCTTCCTCCTGGTAAAATACTAGGCAAACACGTTTTTGACAGGGATAGTGGAAACCCCCCTTAGGGGGATTGGCAGAGGGGAGGAGTAAAAACATCTGAGCCGGAACAGAGCGTGCTCCCGATTCCCACAAGACCCTGGAGACGACACAGGCAGCACAAGGGAAGATGCAGAGTGCAGGACCACGGAGGCAAGGACCTATTGGTTCAGGAACTGATGACCACGGGAGACATTGGCATTGGAACAGAGGTACTGTACAGAGACTTTTAATACCTGAAGGCAAGGAGCAAAGAAACTGGCCCAGCTAGCCGATACAAACTGAGGGGAATGGAATATAGCCCGGGGGAGGATTTCTAGTGTAACCTGAAAGGAGACTGGGGAAATTGGACTGGGTAGTACCCCTCTCCTTCAAATGGGTCATCAAAAACTTTCCAAGTACCAAGAAGAAATGTTTGAGTGGTCTCTTTTCAGTACTTTACAGAAAAGACTGCTGTCCCTCTGGATTTATTATGACCCTTGGAAGGACCTTTTGTTGCTGCAAATGCTGTTTTCGTTGTGTCTTTGGGTGATAGCGAATGTGAATGTAGTTAGAAACTAAAGACGGCACTTATGCTATACAAATGCTTGTTGATTCTGTGTGTTTGCATTGGTGATTCTAGGAGATAAACAGAACCTGTGGTAATGTAGAGGGGCCCTAGCACTCCGTTTGTATTTCTAGGTGGCGTAGTTGAACACAAGACAGGAACATTCCTTGCCCAAAGGGTTCAATAGTTCTCCAAAGTTGGGAAAGCAGAGACATCACTTGCGTTGATTTTAATTACAACAGCTGCAGCCTTTTCTTCATAGCAGTGATCTTGTCAGATATGTCAAAAATTGTTAAAGAGAGACCCTGCTGTCCCATATTCAGCTCATTCAAACGTGAGAATATATCAGCCAGGTAGGCTAATTTTACCAGCCACACTGGATCATCAAATAGACTTGCCAAGGAGATTGCTTCTCATGCAAAAACATCTCTATCTTGGAGTGCAACTTCATGAGCACTTTGTCCCTTGATAACCATATCACTTCAGTATGTAGCAAAAGCTGCACATGTTTGCTGCCCATTTAATTACAAAGCACACTGAACAGACATGAATTCATTGGTCGAGCCTTGATACAATTCACAACTTTGACAGCAGAGTCAAACAGATTTTAAATCGTCAGGCACTTTCTTGATTGCCAAAGCCTCACGATGGATGCTGCAGTGTGTCCACTTTATATCTGGAGCAACCTCTCTAATTCGTGCAATGCTGTGTCTGCCTGTTATCGCTCTAGCGCCGTCTGTACAAACTCCGACACATTTTTTTCAATCGGTCGATGTCATTCTCTTTGATAAATTCATTCAGAAGCTGAAATATGTGCTCTCCTGTAGTTCTTGTTGGTAGCGGCTTACAGAACAGAAAGATCAGTACTCTTGGCGACTATTCCTTTCAGCCATTACATAATACTTGATTTCTGCGAGGTTTTCATTTCCGATAAATTGTTCTGTTGGCGCTGTTTGAGAAATTCTTCTACGTTTCCCCTTAAAAGACAATCTGGAGTCCATCTCAGAAGTTAAAAGAAGTTTTTATTCTCCTACCCCCCTATCTGCTACAGATAAACTTCTTTTAATACAATTGGTCACTTAGGTTCGTAGCACACATTCCTATACAATGGTATAGAATTACTGTACATAGTAGCTCTCGTGTCCACTCAAGTATTAGCACATACTGTATCATCATAGCTAAGTATGTAGGCTGCGTATTTGACATAGAAACTAAGTTTATTAAAATAGAAAATATAAAAAAAACCCATAACCAATTTTTAAGTGCACACAACAAATTTCCAGGGTCATTTGGCGTACCACCTGCGGGCGCTCTGCGTACCACTCGTGGTACGCATACCACAGTTTGAGAACCATTGATGTACAGTATTTACAAACAAGGCGTTTCAGAGGCCTTACATTCTGGTCACCTAGAAAACCCCAGACTGCTATTAAGTATTAAACTCATAATGGCTACAGAGGCCACACAAGAGATGAGCTGCCTTCTAACTAAATACAATGCAACTGCAGTTAAATCTCTCTCTCTGCACCTCGGATGCCACAAAATAAATGGGAGCCTATATCCCTATCCATAAAAATGCACCCTAAGCAGGAAAGACGTTTCTAACTAAGATAATTTAGCCAGGAAATACAAGTTCCCTAAACACACAGAACAGCATGCTCTCTCTAGCAAGGGTCAAATACTGGGCTCCAGTCAGGTTTGGTTTGGATGATCATGAAGCAGAGGCTCTTGCCTGGTGCAAACTTCAAGTCCCAACTGCTCCGGACTCTTCTCTCCTTCCTTGTTCCATGCTTCTTGTTTCTTCCCTTTTTTCTCTGTGCTCTTAATGTAATCTTATATTGTGTATTTCTGTACTGCTCATTGACAATCATTAACATACCTAGGTACACTGAGGTAAGGTTTACAATTGTTTCTGCTCAAGGGACCCCCCCAGACCTCAGCAAACATATTCTCTGCTTTGAAGTTTGAACTGTTTACTCTTCCAAGCATCACAAACTTTACCTAAAATCTAAGTGACACTTCTCAGTCACCTAAAAGCTGTAACAATAGCAAAAACTAAAGTTACACCTAACATACTCCCATTGATACAGTATACATTGTATATGAGACAGCTTGTGTCACTTCTTCAATCCTAAGTGAAGTCATTACCTATTCTTTGGCCTGTGCCATATGGAAAAATGTAAACTGTCAGTACTCTGTTCAAGGTTCTGTCTTTAATTTCACACACTTGATTTCACTGACAGTTAAAACCAGCTTCAATATTCCAGGTGGAGTTTGCAGCCCACAGCTAGAAGACAAAAGTCACCCTTCAGTGAGTGTTCCCCTTGGAGCCAGCTTTCACCTGAATTGCAAAATGGATGGAAATGATGTTTACTTGTATAACCAGCGCACAGCTGATCCTCCAGTTGTGATGATTATGTTTTTCTATGTAACTGCTCTGCCTGATCCAGTCTATTACACAAAGCCTGACAGTGCTTTTCAGATCTTCAGACAAGATGACACTATTCACCTAAACATCACTGAGGTCACAGAAGATCACACTGGAGCATATTACTGTGCTCAGAGAAAACAGAAGCCAAGCTCTAGACAGTGGGAGCTCCACTTTACAGCTGGGAAAACACTCTTAAGTAAGTAATTTGCACGAAACAAATGATCTCTCAAAAGTACAAGGTGCTACAGTAGAGCTTTTATATGATTTCTCCAGGAAAAAACTTCTCATTAAAATCTGGTCAGGGTTTTGTGTGTATTTTCATGATGATAAATGGTATTATGTAATATTTAGTGCTATGACATTCATATGGAGCATTTCTAAAGATAAATATAGAATACTTGGAGAGAGACATCCAAACCCAGAATTATTCAAAAGCGCTTACAGTATGCTTGGGCAATAATGACATAAGACTTTAAATGTGATACCACTAGAAACCTCTCATACTGTTTTACATTTTCATCTGTTTGTTAATTTTATGTTTGTATTTACAGATTTGCAGACATAGCACCTTAAAAACTTTTGCTAAACAGTAAATGGGGACAAAATTAATTCCATGAAAGCAAGCGTGGGTAATAATACTGTTTCTTGTAACCCTGAACTCCGTCTTCTCACTTTATTTGCTTGACTTGCTCTGCTTTAAAAAACAGAAGAGTGAAACCACAACACCACATCTGCACCATGTGAGACAGGATGTAGAAATGAGGAAGGTTAGAAGGTGACTTTAACACCTTGCACATAAACAAGATTTTTAAAACATTGAGTTATACAGCAAAATGTCCAAAAGTCTTTGTAAAGACTTTTAAGTACTGTATTTTCACCTTCTAAACATCGTTTGACCAGAATGGTCTTTTACAGAGTTCGATAAAATGGAGCACATTTTCCATGAAAGAATCTTGATTCTTAAATTTTATTTCTTCACCTTTCTGGAAATCTAATAAAAAGACTAGGAATGGCTTTGGAATTTGCTGTAACTGCTGATTTAGGTGTACGGTGTTGAAACATGTAGACCTTTGGATGCTAATATATGAAATGTGTGTGTGCATACTCTTCTCCGAAGCAAATAAAAGTGTGTGTTTTAAAAAAATACCCCTGTTAAATTTTAATATCCGTAAAATATGGATATGATGCAAAAAATAAAAACAGCTAACAAGCACTTCAAATATTTTGAAGTCCTATAAGGTAGTATTTTTTTGGGGGGTTACAAGCTTTTGTTGATTCATAATTTATCAGAAAATTAATAGTAATGTAAAACCTTTTCACAACATAGAGTATGTAAACTGTATATGAATATATAATATCTTCCATGGAACACCTTTGTGCAATCACATCAGTTAAGACAGTGGAGGCTCTGTTAATTACAATGAATGCTCTAATCAGTATTATAGCCTGATCTAATCAGTGAAAGACCCATTAAATGTTTTTTCTAAACGGTAATGATCAGAACTAAAGACTGTTATGGTTTTGATCACTGAAAGAGTTAAAATGTCAGCCAAACAAGCTACGCAAATAACAGTTTCTGATTGCATAAGTATTCGGTTATTTAAAAGTGCACTTGGCAGAAAACCTTTGTCAGCAGTTACTGCTGTTTGTGTTTGGGATGTGTATCTATCTGTGTTGCACGGTGGGATGATGTAATTATATCTATTCCTGCTGACAAACTTTCTCCAGTTCTGACTACAGTTTGATGGACTGTAGTTGTCGAGCCTCACCATTAACGTTTTATTGGATTCAAGTCAAGACTTGTCAAGACTGGGCCTCTCAAGGGCACAAATTCTCAGAGCACTTCAGTGTGGCTTTGGCCTTCTGCTATAGGTCATTCTCCAGCTAATGTGTAATATTTCAGCCCATTGTTTGGGCATGTCTTGTCTGATTCAAGCTGGTTTTCCTTTAGAATCCTGACAAAACATCTCCATCCCTGTTGATGAGGAGATTCCTCATCACATGATGCCTCCACCCCCATGCTAGACAGCAAAGATAGTGCTGACTGGGTGATGTGCTGTGTGGGGTTTGTGCCACACATACAGTAACACTTTGTATTGAGACCAAAAGGTTTTTCTCTTGTCTGATCATTAAACTTTCTGACACATGTTTGTAGTATTTCCACTCAACCATACTCGTCCAGTTTAGGTAGGGACCAGGATATTTTCAATATATGAACACGGACAGCCATCTCAGACAAAGAACTTTGCAGATACTGTACTTTTAAGTCACCCTTGGCCTCACAGTGGCCTAAGCAGGGTCCTGTCTGTTGCTCCCGATTTCGGTTGTGTTTGGACAGTATGATGATCATTTAACTTCCTGTATCAAAAGTGCTCCTAATCTGTGCTGCTATTCCACTTTATTCTTGATAAAATAAATAAGATTTCATATTAATGCTGATTTCTTGTGTCACTATGTGACCTGTAGCTTGAAATTCAATACCTTCAGAGTGGGTTACCAGAGTAGGTAAACTCAGGCTCCTACAGAGACTCATGCATGTGCTCTGAAACCAGTTAAGCCACTTAAATCACACAGCTTTTTAGGTGACTTTTTAATTGAACAAAAGTTCAGGAGGAATGGCAACAGCCAAGCTCAGTCAACGTCAGCTGTCAGTATTTCATAATCACTCCTGATGTCATTTCACATTAAAAATATAAATAATATTCATAATCCCCTTCTCTCCTTCACATGGAGTGGGGCAGTGGCACCGTGGCTCAGGCTCTACGCCTGTGGCTGGAAGGTTGCTGGTTTGAATCCCATGACAGGCAGAGGAATTCTACTCTGTTGGGACCCAGAGCAAGGCCCTTAACCCCAATTGCTCCAGGGGTGCTTAATAAATGGCTGACCCTGCACTCTGACCCCAAGCTTCTCTCTCCCTGCCTGTGTCTCATGGAGAGCAAGCTGGGATATGCAAAAAGACAAATTCCTAATGCAAGAAACTGTATATGATTAATAAAGTGATCTTATCTTATACACTATGACACCTGTACCCCTCCTCTATTCTGCCTCCACCTCTGCAGCAGCCCCTTGGGTGCTGTCCTGGTGAATTTAAATCACTCTTTTGCACTTGAACCAACCTAGTGTTGCAGTATCAAAGAGCTTGAGGATTTATGCAATTGAGAATCATGTTTAAATCATTTTTCTTTAAACATCCTATCTGACTGCAAAATGTGGAAATCTAATGGGTGAATATTTTTTTGCAAGGCTCTGCTTGCACAGTAAAAATGATCCCGTAGAAAGCCTTTGCAATGATGTTTGTAGGTTTTGTTTTAATTCTGTCTTTATTCCTTCTAGCAGTGGCAAGCTCGGGCTCTAGAATTTGTTCATCCTGTTGGATTCTCCTGCTTCTTTTGGTTTTGTTTGGACATAAATAAAACAATGAAGGAGGAACACACTCCATAGTAGTAAGCTTTAAAAATGTTATTGTTATTGATGTTAAGTAATGTTTGCTCATTACAGAACTAGGGCAACACAAAATCCTATTCTTATACTGTAGTGGGATCTTAATTTTCTCTAATAATGCGTTGAACATAAAAATGAATATCCACTAAGTAGCCTTTATGTTTGTAGTTTTGTATCATTACCTACTGTATACTGTATAAAAAATCACTTTTTATCAATGTTTAATACATTATAGGTTCCATTATAATGCGTTTGTCAAGAGGATGTATTTAATTGAGCCATATAAAGTAAAACTAGTATGAAGCATTTCTATAACATTGGTGGATTTTCATTTTACAAGAAGATATTCTTGAAGATTGTTCAGAGCTTTGATTTTTCAAACAATATTTGAAAATGTCGTTGTATATGGAATTTGTTGTTATTCTAGCATGTTATTTTATCATCTTTCTTCATAGATCTCAAGTCTTTCTTGAAAACACAATCAGTCTTTGGGTCTCCCCTCGAGTTCTTTATCTCCAAAGAACTACTGTACAGCTATTTCTGCCTTACTTACAAGCCATTTCCACTTACCTACAGGGGGATTCTGACACTTTTTTACAATAAGATTATACTTTGAAAATAGAAACATATTAAATGTTGTTATAAAATTTGATAGATCTTATTCTGCTGCTCATTTTCATTGAGAAAATTCTTAAGTATGTTTGTTTTAACTTTGATTAGTGCTGAGCGTTTCAATGACTTCTCTTCTACAATATTTTCACAGGATCCCAGAGTCCATCTGTCCATTCTGGGTCACATAAGGACACACCTCCACATGAATACAAGTGTTCATGACCAACAAATGTCATCACAGCACATTTCTTCAGAAAGACCGGTGCAAAACATACCAGAGGATACATGCGGAAACTATTTGGAAGCACATTAAAAACTAAGAATATGAAACACCTCTTTATCAAAGGGCAGTGAAAGTATGAACTAGCCATGTGGTTGGTGCTCATACTTTGGCTTCTTTCAAGAAACAGGTGGTTAATATCCTTAGATCAGCTGACTGCCAACTACCAAATGAGATTTGTGGGTTTTTTATGTTAAAAGGAGACCACCTTTTTGTGTAGATGTTGTGTATTGTTTAGTTTGTACCAATACATAGAATTTGTAATGATTTTAAGTTTCTTTGTGCCAAAACACCCTATTACAGAACAGAATTAAGAAATTGCAAAAAAAGGACAATTATGAAATGATGAATTTGAATTTAATGTCCACAATTTCTGTAATAGGGAGTTGATAAGCTATACTACTGCTTAAATGTAAATGTGACTAATTAAATAAAACAAACGTATTGAATGGGGTTTGAAGCTGAGCACAAAATAATAATAATTCCTTACACTATACAGTACTGTAGCTCTTTTCTGGACGCTTTACAGGTAATGGGGACTCCCCTCCACCACCACCAGTGTGCAGCTTCACCTGGTTGTTGGATGGATAATGAGCTGCCACCTTTGGACAAAATCAATGTTTAACAATTTAAGTCAAGGATCTTCTGTCACTGATTAATGTCTTTCAGGTGCTTTAACAAAAAATACATAGTGGCCTTACAGGTGGATATCCAGGTTTGGAGCTGATTATGGTTATGTACTTTAAATATGCGATCAGATGATCGGCACTGTAGTATTCAGTGGTATTGATAACAAAGTACCCATGTATATCATCTATCCAGCTCATGAATCTCAGGTGAATATATGAAGGCTTGTTCGCTTCCAATAACTAGTTAAGTGCTTTCGGAAGTCAGAACAGGGCTAAGCTACATTCTTCACTGTTGTTCAGTGTTGTCTGTGTTTCTGGGATTTTATTCACACACCTGTGACATGCTAATGCAGTAGCTTCTGTCTCTTAGTCTTTAGACATACATACTGTAAGCAAATTCTTCTCATTTAAACACCTGTGCCTCAATCCATTTTATGGAGTTTGAGAAAAGAAAAATTTGTTCAAAAGAGCAAATTCAGAAACGTTGCACAGCTCTAAAAACAAGAGACAGGTCAAATTGAGAACGTCCTTCCATCCACTTCCTAACCACTTATTTCAAAACGGAGTCACAGGGAAGCTGGAGCTATCCCAGCAGGCAATGGGTGCAAAGCAGGCTAACCCTGGATGGGATGGGAGTCTAGACCATCACAGAGCACACACAAACACACTCACACCAGGCTCAGTTTTCCCAGATGTCAAAGGAGAAATGCAATGCAACTTTTATATTCTGGGGTTAGACAGACCCAGCATTGATGAGTGGAATTCAAACCACAATAAAAGTTAAATGTACACTGTAACTTGCCAAACCTCAAATTTACATCTGAAAATAGATTAAATTTACAGGTAAATGCACATTCAGAAGGACGCAACAAAACATCAGGTGATGCGAAGCAGCCCTATGACATTGTACACAGGTAGGCTTGTGAATACATCTCCTTTAATCCAATGGAAACATTGCTCTCAGCTTTGAGACAGTTTTGCTGACAAATACTACTTGTTAAACTCTACATGCCGATCACGTTGGAACATTTCTGCAACGAAATGACTGCTGCACAACCTGTACTTATTCATTCCTACGTTGCATTACATTAGTCATCATGGTGACTAGTGAGCAGGAAGGGCTGCATCATGTCGCAATTCGAGCAATTCCCATAGCACGACCAGCAGTTCGTGACAACAATTGCGACTTACAGTACCTTCACAAAGTTCACAATTTTGCGTTTCGTTCAATCAATTAATTTATTTTGTTACAGAGATTTAATAACCGGTCTGAGTAATTGGAACTGCAGTTCCCCTTTAACCTACAGTACCAGTACATCTTTGGACTGTCGGAGGAAAATGGAGGACCTGCAGAAATCCACACTTTGGCAGGTCTGCCTCAAACCCAGTTTGAATAAGGATGGCGACACAAAGAAGGCAGGAGGCAGGTATGCAGCTTCACAAGGCAGAGGCTTTATTGCCCTTTAGGTTATAAAATTGTGCTATTCAAAAGTTGAGAGATACAGAGGGAGAGAGACTGGAGATCAGAAATCAGAAACTTGTATTCACCAAGTACAAGATATACAAGGAATTTCTCTTGGTGCAGGTGTCAACTTATAAATTCCAATAAGATAAAAGCAACAAAAAATAAATCTACAGATAAAAACAATTCTGAGTGATACGTACAGTTTAAACGTATATACAGTTGAGTAATAAAATGTACAGTGAATACTGTGTATATTTACAGAAAATATCGGTAGCATGTGCCGTTAAATGAAAATGTACAACTGATCACAGAGGAGGGATGAGAGAAGTGTCCTTGTTTATAAGAACTATGGCCTGGGGGAAAAAGCTGTGCAGGTGTCGGTTAGTCCTGTTTTGTTTCTTGGTCTCTGCTGAGAAGGAAATTCGCTGGAAGAGAGAGTGGCCGGGGTTGTGAGGGGTCAGCCACGATTTTCCCTGCCCTAAGAGAAAGAGGGAGCGCAGCTGCTAAGAGGAAGAAATCTAGGGGTTCCCCTTTTTATGGGGTGCAGTGGGAGAGGATAAGCTGCTAGGGAGGAGGTCAGGTCCCCCCCCCCGCCAGGTCCAGAGCCAAACCCAGGGCTCCAGCACTGCAGGGGAGCAATGCTAAACCACCGTGCCGCCTTTTAATCCAGAAATAAGATAATTTAAAACTGCCACCTCCCCGTTTTATAATTTTAATTAATCAGAACATACAGATATTTTTACAAATGTCAAAAGATCAGAAAACACAAAAACATCTAGTTTTGAAATCCATCTAGCACTGCTAATAGCCTTAATGTTGTCATCCTTTTATCGAATCCTTTCTTACAAATGATAAGATTCACGCATTTCCTGTAGGTACAACATGAAATGGAAAAAAAAGAAGTCTTTGCAACAAAAAAGGAATTCACACCTTTGACATGGTAGCTGTAAGCTTCGGCGAAGATTGCACTGATAAAGCAGATCAGCAGATGTGTTGACCTGATATCAAACAGCACCAACAACCACAATTGTTGCAAGATCACTCCTTGAGAGAGAGATTCTTCCGAATAAGCTTATTTGATGTAGGGAAACGGAACCGGATGCACACAGAGAAAAACAAGCAACATTCATTCGGAAGGAAATAAGTGGTGCCATACAACTGCAGAAGAAAAGCGAAGAAAAAAAAAACTCTTAAATATAAGGTTAAAAAAACCTCATGTGCCCCTCACATCAAAATATGAAAAACGGAATGTAGTGATTTCACTAAATCCTGATAGGCCCTGATTTGAGTCAAATCTGAGATTTCTTCTTTAAAATGTGGATTAAGAACACTTTAGATTCAGTTCAATTCAGATAAAAGTAAACAACCAGATAGGAATAAAGAAATATGTAATTAACAAATGTCTACATAAGGTCTTCAGCTCCAATGTCTTTTGTAATACGAAGTCTGTTTACCTAGTTTCAGTAAGTGCACTGGGGAGTGCTTTTCTCCTCAACTCAAAAACTAAGATTTGAAGGAGAGGTGTTCTGCCAGAGTGCAACAGCTTCACGTAAGTGTGGTGGATACATCAACAGCAGTACTGGACAGCCCAAAAAGGTTTTGCAGCAGGAAATATACAGTTTGTGCCTGTTTTTTTGAGACAAGCCAGCTTAACAATAACAAATTTTCTATTTAAAATTGTAACATATTCAGGAGTTGCTGGGTCACAACTGACTGGGACCTCAGCTTCGTACTTCCAGAGAAAGCCAGTAAAGCATTTTGGTCTCCAGCTCTTTACAAAACGGTGTCCAAACAAACACACTTAATTTCCCAAATTCAGGAAGAATAATAGAAACAAACAGGGTCCCTCACATAAACACCAAAAACTCCAATTATTACTCTTTGTTATTTTTTTACATCCAAAATACTGTAAATCTACCAAAACACAGCCAACGTTTCCATCCTTCTCAAATAAAAATCCCAAATTGTCTTTGCCACACCCTTTTAAAGCCATCAAGCAGGACGCTGTTTAGACAAGAAATGAGCAGGCCATTTCCCCATGGCATCTTGGGACGTGTAATTTCCATGTCCCCTACACAGAGGAAATTACAAATGTTTAAAGAGACAGGGTGAAAGAGAGTAAAGGCTTCTCAAAACACTAGGCCCAAAGTACAGTGGAGTCTGTAAGTATTTGGACAGTGACACAATTTCTGTTGTTTTGGCTCTGTACTCCAGCACATTGGATTTGAAATGAAACAATGACTATGAGGTTCAAATGCAGAATGTCATCTTTAATAATATTGATTTCTATATTGGGTGAACCATACAGTATAGGAATCACAGCCCATTTTATACATACTCCCCCAATTTCAGGGGATCAAACTCAATTGGACACATTACGTAATCTTAAATAAAATTGTCATGTTTAATACTTGGTTGCAAATCCTTTGTAATCCATGACTGCCTGAAGTCTGCCACCCATAGACATCAGCAGACGCTAACTTATTTCGGGGTCTTTTTACCTTCAGTCTTGTCTTCAGTAAGTAAGTGCATGCTCAATGGCATTCAGGTCGGGTGATTGACTTGGCCAGTCAAGAACATTCCACTTTCTGGACCTGAAAAACTCTATTGGTGCTTCAGCAGTATGTTTGGGGTCATTGTCCTGTTGCAAGGTGAAGCACCGTCCAATGCGTTTTGAGGCATTTGGTTGGATGTGAGCAGATAAGATGCTTCTGTACAGAATCCATCCTGCTGCTGCCATTGGCAGTCACATCATCAATAAAGACAAGTGAGCCAGTTCCGCTGGCAGCCATACATGCCCAAGCCTTGACCCTACCTTCACCGTGATGAGGTGGTTGTCATGATTGTCATCCCTCCTCTTAAGGGCACTCCAACCCTTTCGTATTTTAGTTGCTACCTGCCCTGTTACGGATTCGGTAAGAGGGACCGAAACCAGTGAGTGAACCCACTTGCAGGAGCTGACAAAGCCAAGCCGTGATCCGAAAGCAAGCCATAGTCGAAGGAACGAGCCGAGAGTCCAGTGGAAGCCAGATATCCGAAAGGGAACGAGTACCGAAGCCGAAGCGTGATCCGGAGTCGTAGACAGTAGAGCAATCCGATAATCCAGGGGTAGCCAGTGATCCGAAACAGAGCGTAAGTAACGAAGCCAAGCCGAGATCCGAAAAGCCGACGTCCAAAGGGAAAAAAACGAAAACCGAAAGCCAAGACGAACACAGGGTAGAAGTAGGAGTAGCGC